GACGCGACATCACTCTTCCCTAAAGGGTAGAGTGTACAATACAGCGGTACATCTCACCTTATGGTACGGTTGTGAAACCTGGCCCTTTAGATCAGTGGACATAAAGATGCTAGTTACAGTCGACCATCGGTGCCCTAGCAATTTGGCTCACCTCTGGTGGGAACACCGCGTGAGCAACGAGCGTGTTCGACGCCTTGTTTATGGCACTGGAAGAGGAAATGAACCGCTCAGCACCGTCATTTCACGCACCAGGCTCCGATGGCTCGGCCATGTGTTGCGCATGCCATCCCACCCACTCCGGCGACGTGCGTGGTTTGCGCGCCGGGGGTGTGGATGGAAGAAGAGGAGGGGTGGTCAAGCGATGACTTGGTCCAGAGAAATGAAAGCCCTCACTTCGAAGCTGGTCTCGGTTGGAGCGTCTCGGCTCCCTGGTTGGGGTCCAAAGGACGATGAACACGTTTGACTCGATGCACTTGCTGACATGGTTAGGAGCCGACCTTATTGGCGTTTGTGTTGTGAATTCCTTTGTCCCTTCCTATCCCTTTTAGCCTCCCCCTCCAACCACGATCTCATTATTTAGCATTATATAATTTTGACATAATAATTTTTTGTTGCCTAGTAGCCAGCTGGTAGTTTTCCGGAACGATGCCCATCCGTTGGTGGTAACTCAGCTGGCTTACACCTGTTACATTTTCCATTTTTTCTTTTATATATTGCGGCACAGTAGCTGAGGTGTTTCCCATCTCTAGCTAACGTGTATAATGCTGGTGACATTCTTCGCTACTTTCTCTTCTGCTCACTTCTGTTTTCCATGTGCATGGGCTTTACGCTCTATGAGGTGATTACAGCACGAATGCACCTTGGGTGGTCTGAAAATTTTATCATAGGTTATCTGTGAAAGAATTGATTCGAATTATATTTTGCACCATTTCCTCAGCTTCAGGCCGTTTTCCACATGGCTCACCTCTGGCTTCCTTTTGATCATCGTTCATCTTTCAGTTTCGCTCCCATTATTCACCTTGTGTGAGACCCAGTGTTAACTGCTCTGTCAGCATAAGTAGTACGTCGGCACACAGTACTGACGCTTTCTCTGTCATGCGACCGCAAGGGATGGGTATGCCGCGAGGTCACTCACGCCTTCGACCTCAGAGTTGCAGCACATGCACGCAGTTCTTTTGGCCGAGTTTCCTTTGGACTTAGTAATTTTGTTGCGAACATTTTGTCGTCAGCGCTCCGCTCTGCTACACAAAGACTCACTAAAGATGTCAACTCGGTTGGTAACGGAACCTTTGCGCCTAAGTTGCCATGCTCAGAAATCCTTCTCGTTAACTGATCCACTTGAATTGTTTCAACTGTGAAAATAAGCCCTGAGATGACATCAGAATGAAAAGACAGTTAGGCGAACAAGTTTGTTTTCGGTGGTTCGCATCAGGCCATTACACCACAGATAATAGGAATAAAACAAACACAGTGTATCTGAATACAATGAATCAATGAAGTGAAGTGACCGGTCAAGGCGATCAGGTGACGACACTGGCTTGGGCATCATTAGTGGAAGGGTCAAGTGTGGTGGCATAACATGGGGAAGCTTGAGGCCACGGATGCTGCAGAGCCTGTACAAACTTCTTTTGGGCACATACTTCGGGATTATGGAGCCGAATAGCGATTGCTTCCGCTGTCGCCAATAAGCGACATCGGAGGGCTCGCGTGTGGCGTCCAGATATCTTGTAGACAGGTCGGAAGGCCTCTCGCACATTCACTTGGTGATTTGTGTCACCCAAATGCCCCAGGACCGCGCTGACTACTGTCCTTCTGACACCAGTGTAGAGCTACGCCGGGCAATGTTCTCGGACTCTCTCAGACTGTCTCCTGGTCGTCTTTCCAATATAACTTGCTCGACACGAGCAAGAAAAATGGTACACACAGAAGGAAATATTCGACCTCGGTAATCTGTCCTTGAGATGCTGACTCCCGACTGGCGTAGAAGTGAAGTTGACACGGAGGTCAGCTGCAAAGTAGGTTCTCGCTGTAGCAGTGTAGAGCCTTCGAGTAGTTCGTTCCGCTATCACATCACCCTTGGAAGGCAGTGATAAGTAGATTAAGCGCTTTTCAGAGGTGATTGGTTTTACTTTTGGTGCTCGTGGCTCCATGTGTCTCCGGATGAATTTGTCCGGATAACCATTTTGTTCGAGAACGCTTCGAATGAATCACAATTCATCTGACGGCGTATCTTCCGTGCATATTTTCCTCTCTTTCCGTCAGACAACGAACAAGGTTGCGTTTTTGACTCATTGGAATGAAACTGGCGGAATGGGTATACTGGCTGGTCCAAGTTGTCTTTCTATGTACTCTCCTCTGTACTGTCCCGTCTGATGTCCTGGTGATGTGGACATCTAAGAATGACAATGAGTTGTTACTTTCAAGTTCTATGGTGACCACTATGTTGTTATGTGCAGCGATGAAGTGGGCTAGCAGCTCTTCGATGCATACTCGACCATCCGCAACACCAAATATGTCATCTACGTATCGACCGTAGTAAACCAAGTTGTTGATGCATTCGTTTAACTGAGTGTTCTCCAATTTACTCATGAAGACATCGGCGTGTAGCGGTCCTAATGGTGAACCCATAGCTACCCCGTCTATTTATCTGTAAAACGTCTCATTGAACGGAAACTGAATGTTCTTAGTGCACGCCAATATAAGTTGCCTTAAACAATCATTTGGAATACCGATGTTGATGTTGTGCAATTGGATAAATTCGCAGAGGTAGTCAATGGTCTCTTCTAACGGAACGTTGGTGAAAAGTGACGCCACATCTAGTGAGAACATCTTCCGTCCAGCTAACTTGAGTTGTTGTACTGAGTCAACAAATTCGAAGGTGTCCTGGAGGCTGTACCTAGATAAAGTTTTCCTGACCGGCTCAAGGCGTTTGACAAGCCACTTAGCAGTCAGATGATAGGGTGAGTTGTACATGTCCAGTATCGGTCTCAACGGTACACCTTGCTTGTGGATCTTAGGTAAGCCATAAAGCCTCGGAATCATGGACCCACTAGGTCTGGCGTATTCAAAAATGTCAGACTCTATGATGTTATTTTGTTTCAAACGCCGCAAAAATGTTGTCAAGGTCTTCTCAATTGCCGGTGTCCTATCTTTCTCGTTTTGCACTTTTCGGAATTTCGATGCGTCTCTTAGGATGGTGTTCATCTTATCAATATACTCTGACCTGTTCATCAATACATTCCCGGCTCCTTTGTCCGGTCTAGATAACAAAACATTCTTTTTCTTGAGTTCCTTCAGAGCGTCCAAATGCATGTTCTTTAGAAGATATTTGATGGTCGGTTTGTACCTCAAGTACTGATAGCATGTGTTTACCAATGTGGATTTGTACTGTTCAGCTGCTAATGATGACGACGGTGTTAAGGTAGAAACTTGAGAATACAGATTTTGAAATTGGACTTCCAAATCTAACTGTTGTACATTACCTCGGGGGTAGCAGAATTTCGGGCCTAGTGAGAGGACCTCCATTTGTGTTCTATCTAATTGTAAAGAGGCGAAATTGTGCACGTACTTCTAGGGGTCAGGAAGAAATGAGTTACTTTGCCGTATTTTAACGATCTGTCGCCGTAATGAGGCTATTCGCACTTCCACTTGCCGAGCCATAATTCGCTGAACGAATGCTTCGAACCGTTTGTATTCCTCATCGTCCAATTCACTCAGTGCGTCGGAGTAGCTACACCGCTTGCGGTCAAGCTCATCAATACGAGAAACAACCGTGTCTCGCTTGTTCAGAGTGTGACGCTTCAAAGCAGTGCTCGTTGGCTTAACTCCATTACGTCTGAGAATCTTTCAACAGTGTTTGGGATATTCACTACGCAAAACTAATTCCTCCAAAAACTGCACAATCGCCTTCGCTACAGCAAGTCTCGTGTTGAACCTAACGTACTGATTAAGTTTTCTCAACACAGTGGGATCTTTGGATTGTTTCAACTGAGAAAATAACCCCCAAGACACATGGAGCCACGAGCACCAAAAGTAAAACCAATCACCTCTGAAAAGCGCTTAATCTACTTATCACTGCCTTCCAAGGGTGATGTGATAGCGGAACGAACTACTCGAAGGCTCTACACTGCTACAGCGAGAACCTACTTTGCAGCTGACCTCCGTGTCAACTTCACTTCTACGCCAGTCGTGAGTCAGCATCTCAAGGACAGATTACCGAGGTCGAATATTTCCTTCTGTGTGTACCATTTTTCTTGCTCGTGTCGAGCAAGTTATATTGGAAAGACGACCAGGAGACAGTCTGAGAGAGTCCGAGAACATTGTCCGGCGTAGCTCTACACTGGTGTCAGAAGGACAGTAGTCAGCGCGGTCCTGGGGCATTTGGGTGACACAAATCACCAAGTGAATGTGCGAGAGGCCTTCCGACCTGTCTACAAGATATCTGGACGCCACACGCGAGCCCTCCGATGTCGCTTATTGGCGACAGCGGAAGCAATCGCTATTCGGCTCCATAATCCCGAATTATGTGCCCAAAAGAAGTTTGTACAGGCTCTACAGCATCCGTGGCCTCAAGCTTCCCCATGTTATGACACCACACTTGACCCTTCCACTAATGATGCCCAAGCCAGTGTCGTCACCTGATCGCCTTGACCGGTCACTTCACTTCATTGATTCATTGTATTTAGATACACTGTGTTTGTTTTATTCCTATTATCTGTGGTGTAATGGCCTGATGCGAACCACCGAAAACAAACTTGTTCGCCTAACTGTCTTTTGATTCTGTTCCACTTGAATTGCCCACATCTGCTTGGATGGCTTTCTACGATTGTGTCTTTAATTTTCGCATTCTTAGCTGTTTTATAGCTTTTAAAATTTCTTTTGACGAACAGCCAAATTAATCGTTGCAAGATAGCTTATAATCTGTGCTTATTCACCGTTCAGTTTAATTCTCATTTTTTCTGATTCGATCCCTCCTTGCTCTATACTACCGTTCGCCTTAGCCCGCTGCTACTAATGAGCTTCCGTCTCCTGCTGCCTCGGAACGCCCTTCCTCTCCGATACCGGATTCCAATACGTCCACACGTGACGCGGTTGGTGGTGGAGAGTTGGACGATACTCCTGTTGAGGAGCAAGATCAGGATCAGGTGACTGCAACTCTTCCCGACGGTAGTCCACATCGTAATGATGTCACCAACTCGACGACGGCTGCATGTAACACTGTCTCCTTGGACGATGCTTCAGTTGAACTAGTGGCTGACCCACTTCCACCTGGATGGGACGAACGAGTTGATCAGAATGGAAGGACTTATTATGTTGACCATGTGAATCGTCGCACTCAATGGGATCGGCCTTCGTCGTAGGTTTGGCATGTGTTACTGTTGAATTTGTACATATCATGTCAGAAAAACTTCTCTCAAACCTAACGCTGCTCTCCTGTTCACAAATTGAATCTTTCCATTGTTCTTTCACTGAGCTGCTCGTGCGCGTAACTAAGTGATCATTTATTTGATGTCTACCCTGCAGTCGATGCGAACCGAATTTGTGTTCTCCCTCATCATCCACCGACACCGTTTGATCCTTTGCAGCTTACAGTTACGTCGTGTTTCTTTGCTCTGATTCCGGATGCACACGGTGGTGGTTTGAGTGGACTTCTGCTGTGTACTGCGCGTGTTCCAGTTGCTGCACCGGTCCCCGCTTATGTCATCTCATCACTTTTATCGATAACGCTTCGTTAATATAGGATTACCGTATCATCATTATACACCTTAGCTAGAGGTGTAAAAAGCAGCTACTATGCCGCAATACACAAAAGAAAAAAAGAAGATGCAACAGTTGCATGTCAACTGAGCTACCTTCAACGGTTGGGCATCGTTCCGGAAAGCTAGCAGCCGGCTGCTAGGTAACAAGAAAAATTATGATATAGAATTATATTATGCTACGAAATGAGATCGTTGTTAATGGGGGAGGCTAAAAGAGATGGGAAGGGACAAAGAAACTCACAGCACGAACCCCAATGAGGTCGGCTCCTAACCATGTCAGCAAGTGTATCTAGCCGAACGTGTTCATTGGCTTTCGGACCCCAACCAGGGAGCCGAGACGCTCCAACCGAGACCAGCTTCGAAGTGAGGGCTTTCATTTCTCTGGACCAAGTCATCGCTTGACCACCCCTCCTCTTCTTCCATCCACACCCCCGGCGCGCAAACCACGCACGTCGCGAGAGTGCGTGGGATGGCATGCGCAACACATGGCCGAGCCATCGGAGCCTGGTGCGTGAAATAACGGTGCTGAGCGGTTCATTTCCTCTTCCAGTGCCATAAACAAGGCGTCGAACACGCTCGTTGCTCACGCGGTGTTCCCACCAGAGGTGAGCCAAATTGCTAGGGCACCGATGGTCGACTGTAACTAGCCACTTTGTGTCCACTGATCTAAAGGGTCAGGTTTCACAACCGTACCGTAAAGTTGAACGTACCGCTGTATTGTACACTCTACCCTACATGGCGAGAGTGATGTCGCGACGCCGCCATAGTTGGCGAAGACTAGCAAAAGGGTCCCGAGCCTTTGCTATACGATTTTTGATTTTGTCTTCAATCCCACGGGCGCTGATACAACTTCCCAGGTAGTTAAATTTCTGAACGACTTCTAGCTGATCCCCACCAAGGTTCAGCGCAGGAGGCGATCCCTGCCAATCTTGGATTAAAGCTTTGCACTTCAAGGGTGCAAAGGAAAGCTCGAAGAGACTGATAGTTAGTGTTAATCTGTCCACTTCAGCTTGACACGTCTGGGAGCTGTCACAGATGAGGACAATGTCGTCTGCATACTCCAAGTCAGGAACTCGTACTGCTGGGACTAGCTCCACACCTTCTAAGTCGTGTCCTGTAAATGCAATCTCCATGACTTCGTTAATAGCGAAGTTGACAAGGAAAGGTGACAGCGGGCATCCTTGTTTCACACTGCTAGGCGGCACCGTGTGCACCTGGAAAGTATTGGCGTTGCTTATCCCAATAGTTTCTTTTTTTCTTAGCAAATGCTGACAGCGAGCAGCATCTGGTTTTTTTTACTATGAAATAAGAATACTAACGCTACACGTACATTTCCCTAAAGTGTGAGAGGAACTGTACCAACTTAGGAACAGATCAGTATGTACAGAAATGATCATACTCTCTTGTGTTGTTGTATATTGCCGCTGCTTTTACCTTTCCAAATGTTTTTTTTTGCTTCCTCCTGGAACATTTCCTCAGGTTTGTCTACTGATAACATGGAGAATGTCACTTCCATCCTTGTGAAACTATTAAGTGTTGTGTGGAATGACTTGGAGTTTTCGCATGCCTTGATTGCGGCCAGTAGACTGTTCCATAAGACGGCATATCTAATGTGGAAAAATGTTAGAGCGCATGGTTGTTATTGCTCTTGGTGCAAGTAGCGTACCGTTTTTGTTGCGGAGTACCCGAATATTCCCGAATATAAGTTCTTCCATTGATTACCCGACAGTATAACTTTGCAACATCAATTTTGTCTGAACTCGTAAGTTCCTCTATTAGCTGACCCCTAAAATATCGGCAAAATAGAAACGAAATTGTTTCTCCACGATTTCGACGTCATCGCTATTTACTCTCGCTTGAGTGAGTTCTAGTGAAACATGCTCTACTATTGGTCGGTTGTGGTGACCGTAATGTGTAATAATCTCGGGTACTGGAACATAGGGCCGTCAGAACGGACTCGCTGCACCGGACAGTGTAGAGAGCAGACGTCAAATCAAATGAAACAGGCAAAACAACCAATAGTAGAGCAGTTGGTGAGAGTGCAGTTCACCGTCAGACATGTGGGACGAGGTTGTACCGAATCGCTTGACATAACGGCTTTTGATTCGCTCCTGCCATCCGTCGCGAACTTCAAATATGCAATATACCGAGAATTTTCGACACAAAAGTAACGTGTCCAGTTATAGGCACTTCAAATCCCTATCTGGAATGACGTCCGTCACTAACGGATGGTTCCAACGGGAGATAAAGGCAATGATGTGCAGTGAATTTTCGGGTGAATTTTGCACATGGTATTTTCAAATTTCCTATAGCCTTTTTCTAAGCGGACCCCTGTAGAAACGAAAGTTGTCGAAAACTCATCGGCTTATATTTGGTAATATGCAGTATGTCTTCTGATGCAGCAAATTGTATGGGAACATCAAATTTTGCTTCAAACGTCGCAACCAAAGTCACTCAAACTGAATTCACTTACAACGTACTCGGTAGTTTAGGGTAGATGTGCTGTCGAACAAAATACATGACTCCGATAATATCTGGCACGAAACAACAATTCGATGCATTTGTTCCAAGCCATTTACCGTTGAATTTGCAGTCTCTTCCCTTCGCATTGCCACTTTGAGTTCTGCGCATTTGACGGTTGTCGATTGGTTTTTCCCCACACCAACTTGCTTTTTTGTTCACTGTCTTTTAGACTTAACGGTTGTCAGAATTGTCCACTTTTTGACATGCGAATCCGTTTCTCTTGGTGACACTTGACATTCCATCACCATGTTTGTTTTTCCTGCCGCTCTCAGGCAACTTCCCGAGGGTTGGGAGCAGCGGACTGACGCCAACGGACGCGTCTACTATGTGGACCATATAAACCATCAGACCACTTGGTACCACCCACTCTCAACCTCGGTAGGACATTTTGTGCGGCTTTTTTTTCTCAGGCATCATCATTGTGCACTCATACCTTTTAAGCAACTTTTTTATCAATTCTTCTTTTGTTTTACCTGTGCACAACCCGGTAGCTTATTCCTCTAGAGCCCTTTCCTCGGCTACATCTGACGGGTATCCCGGCCGCTCTTGCATATGTCTGCAACAGCGCTGACCTATTTTACTAGTTGTTGACTCTATCGTCTCGAGTCTATCTTTTGACAACACTGTTTGCTCTGACAACAATTTCATGCGCCACGCGATTCAATAACTGCCACTTCTCACATTGTGATTCCAACAACCTACCTTGTTCCCAGTCGCTACTATGTATACCGGATCATCAGTGTTTCGCATTTTGGCTATGTTATTTTTTATGCGTGATTCCTCTTTGTGTTGGATCCTCAAATCGTCTCTGTTTGTGCTGAACGATCGTCTATGGAATATTCATTAGATGTTTTAAAATCAAATGGGTTTAATTAGACTAAATAGATGAGCCTAGTGGGCTAATGGCGCGTAATACGTATGCCTGATCACCGCTTACCGGGAAGGGCCCTGTTTCGTCTGCCAGATGTAGGGTGGTGCAAGGCTCAATGTAGACACAAGTTGGTTTGACTGCGTCGAATGAACTCAATAATGACCAAACTCGGTGCCGTCGGTCCGTCTCACCTTCCAGGCTTGAGTCCACGTTACCTGCTTTTTGCTTGGCTCGAGATGTTACAGGACATGGCTCACAGTTGACACCAGTGGCGCGTCTGATGTCGTCTCCTAGTCGGACTGCCTGTTAAAAGTCTGTTTGATACTGAGTTATATGCAAGGTAGTGGCCGATTATGACGCGTGGCAGTGAAAGCTTCAAGGATGCTGTCTCGCCGATGCCGCGTTATCTTTACTCGATAGCCAGCTGTTTGTGACCGTATGTTGTTAACACAAGGTGTAGGCGCCTTGACCCTGAATGTTTGCTTATATCTTCATGGTTTTCCGGTAAGCCCCCTTCTATCCTACTTATTAGTCTTCTTTTCGTAGGTCGTTGTGGTTGTATGGCAGCGGAGTGTCAGTTCAAATGGCTGATGTATTGCTGTGGTTGATTATGATGATGATGAATGGCCTGGTGTATGCGGGAGCGGTTACGGACGACCGTTCATTACCACGAGGTGACGTAGCTCACCATGATCAATTTGAAGTTGCTTCATCCTATGGAATGCGTTTCACACCCTCGGGCCTCTTATCTTCTTTCCTGTCCACTGCTATGGACTTGGTTGAGTACGTTCCGCGTTAGTTAAATCAGTGGCGATGAGTGTCTGATGACATTTGAAGCTGGTACACAAATCGCGAGAACTAGATCGTTCTTTCAATCCCTACCGCAGTATGAGAGTGTTTCATACTTACTGAAGCATCGAATCGGCCAGAATGCTGTGTCAGACTCCATTTTCTTGCTCGCCTCTTCAAAGTGCTACTGCAAGTGGTCGAATACCATTGAATTTCGACACTTAGGACATCTTCGTACTACTCATCAGTGTTCAATACTATAGGGTGAACACCATTTTGTTATCATCATAACTTTAGTCCACTACGGTCGTTGATCACCTAGGTTAGCCGCTCATCCGATCAACCAGTAGTCGATTGCGTTGGTGTAGTAGTCTTTTCTACCTGACCAACTATGCGGTATGAAGACGCTGGATCTCTCTCAAAATGGACTATTTAGTGGGGTTTCATTGTCAGTAGTGAATCGTTTATCTGTTGATTGATCGTGGCAGATGACCTAATCACAGTGATCTTATAGATGCAAACTAATAAACTTCATATTTGAAACGCGTTTGCCTAAGCATTAGTCATTTGTTCTCTTCCGACGGTTTTTCACAGATGCTATCATCTTTCCACATTTTTTCGCAGTCCAGTCACGCAGTTTTAACCCCATCTCGATCACCAGTGGAGAATGGAAGTGGTAGCGATGCGGGCAGTCAAAGTAGCGGCGGTACGTTCACACGATCAATCTCTCCGCTCGGTTTTTTTCTCTTATCAAATAACTGACATAGTTATCCCCCTTATTACGACACGTGGTGGCCTCGTGCAATCACTTCACTGGCACATTTGCCTCCCACGTGGTTAACGGTTCAGAACGTGACCATTCTCGTTTCCTTTGGCCCCATCCTCTCTCGGTTCAAATGGAGTATATATATATATATATATATATATATATATATATATGCTTATTAGTTAGTTCTCAAGTCTGTAAACAGACAAATTTGCCATCCGAACCATGGTGGAGGGAAAGGAGAATATAATGTTCAACGAGGAGAGAGAGAGTACAACGTTTGAAGAATTTTTTCAGTTTCACACACGCCGTTTTGCGTTTTTTTGTTTTCATGTTTTGTTCAGCATTAAAAAGTACAGGATGAACAGATGATAGAACAGCATTGACTCCTTTTGCGGACCATATCCTCCAAGGCTTCCAACCATTGGGAATCCGCTTCACGTGGTCTTCAGTCTGGAAGACGCACAGATCCAACTCTTCATACTTCTTTTCCAGCTCATCGGTAGTCCGTCGCGGCACTTTTTCCATTTGCCTCCAGGAAGTGCAACTAATGCGCGACGTGGAAGACGATGGGCCGGTATGCACAGTAGCTGACCGAGCCAACGCAAGCGGTGCTGGATGATTATGCTCTGGAGATCAGGACTCTCCGCTCCCATGATTCTGCTTCTAACTTCCGCCTTGCTCACATGGTGCTGCCACCATACGCGAGCAATTGAACCCATGCAGCGATTGTCGAAAGTAGACAGTTGTCTCAAATCTTCCGATGGAACAGGTCAGGTCTCGCAGCCGTACAGTAGGACGGCACGAACTGTAGCATTGTATACTCGACGTTTGGGCTTGAGGCTGACATCGCGACAACGCCACAAGTGTCTCGTGTTAGTTCATGCTAGGCGAGCTTTGTCGATTCGCTATGAAATTTCATCGCCAATACCGCCACCAGCCGTGATGCAACTCCCGAGGTAAGTAAAGCTGTTAACAAGCTCCAGGCTGACACCCAGAATGGTGAGCGTAGGCACAGGAGCCTGCCAATCTTGGAGCAAAGCTTTACACTTGGATGGAGCAAAATACAGGCCATACTTAGATGCCACTATCGATAAACGGTTCAGAAGGTTTTGAACATCCTGCGAGTCGTGCCCCAGCAATGCGATGTCATCAGCATAGTCCAGGTCCACGACTCTGCTCCCGGTTAAAACTTCAACGCTTCAGCTCGGCTCCTTCCAGTGCACGATGTAGGATATCTTCGATAACAAAGTTGAACAGGAACGGCGTGATAGGACAACTTTGGCGCACTCCACTGGTAACAGGAAACGAAGAAGAAAGTCTGCCATAAGCTCTAACCTTGTCAGAGCTGTGACTATACAGCTCTTTCAATTATGAGAAACTTGTCGGGAACGCCGTTCCGTAGCACAGTTCCACAATGACCTATCCACTGAATCAAAAGCGGCTCAGATATCCAAAAACATCACCATTGTTGGTCTTTGGTGGACATGACGATTTTCGAGAATTTGACGCCACGTGAAAATTTGATCACTGCAACCACGATCAGAACGAAAGCCAGCCTGTTTCTCACGACACAAACTCTCGCGGGTAACTGATAGCCTACGCAGCAGGATGGACAAAAAAGCTTGGACGCTACAAAAATCAGATTCTCCGGTTATTGGTGCGTTCACTACAATAGCTCTTCTTGTGGATCGGAACCACAACAGATTCTCCCCAAAGAAATGCTTCTTTGCCTCTTGTATCTGTCTCTTCGTTCTCAGTTGGTTCTCGTGGGAGTAATTTTGTCCTCTCATCATGCCAAATTCTCTTTATGGGGAGTCAGCTGCGAATCGGTCTCACTGTTTTCTTCTCTTCGTTTGGTTTAAAGATTAAACCAATGCACTTTCCTGTATACATTACTATTCTCGATTTTCGAGAACTGCACTGATAGGTCCGCCTGTCCTGGTTTCTCTTTGCAGGTGAAAACTGGTTGTTCATGAAGACTGATCTTTTGACACTGAGAAGCGTCCCTGTGCTTTAGATCATTATTTCTTTTGCTTCCTTCAAACCCATGACGCTGGCACTTGCTTGGCATTCTAACTTGTTTCTTTATCTATGGATCAGGTCTCCTTCCATTAAGCCGGTGCTCACCGTATTAATAATGGCACACGATTTATTCGATTGTGTCCCAACGGTAGCGGTTATATCACGTTCAAGACATTCTTCTCCGCATCGTTTGCATCATCAGCGGGAGGTGATGCATCTCACTTTAAGGTTGTCGTTGATCCGAGCGTTTAACTGGAATCTAACCATTAGTTTCTACACAAAACCTCCGCGAAGCGATGAGCTTCGAGGTCACTTTATCGAGCCCTTCCATCTACCGAATGACACTGCCTATGGGAACAGGAACAATTACGTTGTTCTACTAACGGGTCTAACAGTCGGAATGCAGCTTGAATTCATCTCCGGTGCGCGATAATGACGGTATTCCAATATACCTTCCTGCTTTACTCGGTATGTTCCATAAGATAATGTATTTCTTATGGTCCCACAATAATATTAACAATAACGATAATACAACGTTTGTTTCTCATGCTGTGTGAAACTGTGTCTGTAATGGCACAGCTCAATTGTACACGGTTCACAATGCCCTTGCATGGACGATACACAAATGTGCAATATTGTAACATGGGATTCATGTAGTAGTGTTTTGGTGGATGGTTGTAGCGAAAGCCAAAGTCTGGAAACGTGGATGTGTTTGGGATGTTTTGGAACCATGTTGAAATCGTAGAATTTCCCATGAGTGTATAGTCATTATTGTATCCAGGTTAGAGCAACTTGCGAGGTTGTTACTAAATGTTGCCACGTGACCGGAGTGTGATTGTCTGTTTATTCCGCAGCTAGCTGTATCTGGCCAGGAAGGAATTTGAGCACATGCTTGTTCTAGCTTTTGGCATATCCTTTGTTGCGAAACTCACAAATTGAGCTGTGTTGTAGCTCAACTGTAGTTATGTTGGATTAGTTTTTGTGTTGCAGGTTGTATAGCAGCACCAAGTTATGCATTGGTTATCACATCCAAAGTGGTTCACATTGAAGTTGACTACAGCTATCCCGACAATTCATAGCGGTGTGTACTAATCAGAGGTTTAGTAGACAACCTTTGGATCGAAACAATTCAAGATAGGGCACTCAATCAAAACCAGTGGAAGATTTGTGTGTAGATCCATATACTTAATACCTATCAACTGAGAAGGACAAAAACGTAAAAATCGCGTGTGCAAGCTAACAATTGTATTTGGTTTCTCTTGCAACACAATAGCTGTGCTGTGTTGACCACCTTCAACTGATTTGTCATGATCCATCGCGGCAAGACTGCGATGGTTTGTGTGCCTCAAAGATCCATTGGGCTACGGTGGGTGGTGCTTTTGCACCTTGAGAGCTACTCACACCAAATCGGTCAGTGGTTAGAAGCCTGACACACGCATTCTCTTGGCTGTCCAGGTTGGGGATTGGAGTGTGGGTGGCTCCTCACTCCATAAAACGGGCTCAGTGTAACATAATACCGAAACCCAGCTTCCTTGCTGTCAGGTTTTTGGTTGAGAACCATAATCATTCTCTTGTCTAGGCCTGTGCAACCTGACAGTATCCTGCCTACGCAATACAATACACTACAATGAATTTTTCTTCAAGCAATTTCTTGATACTCTGATCATCGCAGAGGATTTCAACGGCGCCCTATCTGCTACATCGAGCACTAGAATAGGGGTGAGAATGGTACTGCTGAGGTTTTCCCGTCTTTTAATCTCCTCTCGCGCTTTTTTCCTTATCTTCCTGTTCCCCCTGTTTTCAATCTTCTGATTTTTGGCTCTCGTCCATCTTATTTTGACAACCGCTTATCTTCTAGTTTCAACTCACACTCAATCGCAGGTCGTCGCTCCGGTCAAATCGACATGTCCATGTCCAACCTAACGAACAACCTCAGTGCGTCCGTTTCTGTTTGTAGCTTTCCATCCTCCCTAAGATTGGTATGCCTCAATGCGCACACTTCGCTGCAGATATGCCAACAGGCAGCACTTTCCCGAACACTAGAGACCTTATCGATCGACATCTGCTGTTTATTAGAAACCCGCCTGCAAGCTTCAAGTTTTGTGTTTACCATACGATCCCCCACAAGCGATACTAGGGGCACTTTCTCATTGCTTTTGTCAGGAGATAACGCAGCTTCAATTGCCGATCAAGCTGGCGTCGGCATTGTTTTGAGTCCCCGGCCTGAAGCTGCGCTGATCGATTGGATTCTAATCAACATCCGGATGTGCGCGGTTAGATTGGCCGGCTCGTTCAAAGTATGGAAGTCGCGTGGGGACAAACAGTGCTTGTTTGTCATTACGGCCTACGCGCCCACAAATCGTCACGCCGATTCGGTAAAAGACGACTTCTATCAACAATTGAGTGAGTTTTTTCGTTCCGGAGAAAGTATGGGTACCTTAGTACTTGCTTGTGATCTGAACACCCAAATCGAAACACTGTCCACGGATGAGTTGCATTTGGGCGGCCGACGCAGCACCCGCAGAAGCGTGACATGGCGCCCACTCTCTCAAACCAGCCATGTACGCAACTCGACCACATCTCGATAGGTTATCGCTGGAGAGGATGAGCCCAAAACTGTCGCTCGATTTGGAGCACGAGCGTGGACTCTGGCCACGCACTCTTTTGCGCCGATCTATGGATGCGTTTCAGCGGACGTCCGCAGCGGCACTGTGAGCACATAGATACTTGCCAACTGGCGAAGTCAGATTTTCTGGATGTGTATCGAAGTACGCTGACATCCGATTTATCGCTCGCTTCACACAGTTGAATATCACTAGTCGTGTATCCTCCAGACGTCATTCGTATCAGGCATGTCTTATGTGGCAAATTAAATCGCCAACCTAAACATTGGATCTCTATGCAGTTTCTGAAGC